CCAAATACAGCTTGAGTGTCTTCACCTCTGTTTTGAGAATTCTTGACCTTCACCTAGAAGTTGGAACCTTTGCTATAGTCTGAGTGCAACTATACTTAGAATGAAAATCTAAATCCTGTACAAATATAAAATATTAGAATGGCAGTGCAGCAAGTATCATAACATGCAGTAATTCACTACTCAGTAAAAGCTGTGTGATTTTAATGCTACATGCCAGTTCGTCTAAATTATTATTACAGTTTGCAAAACTCAATTCCCTTTCCCCCTGTTTTATATTAAAATGTATTAATATAATTCTGCTTATCTTTTATTGCTTTACAATATTCACTTTTTCTACCTCTTTTTTTTATAACTACTACTATTCTTTCTTTAATTTCCCCCTCATCGTTCCCAAAGTGTCACTTTAATCATATTAATTAATACCAAATTTTCTTCCTCTCTTGCCATTATGTCTGGGCATTTCCCCTCGCTGTTACATTCTGCATTATATTTGATCTTCTATACAATGTAAAATCCAGTTTTGGAAACTGGTGGAATACAGTCCATGTTTAGCACTCATTTCTGTCCTATTTGCTTCCAGAAAAAAGTCACTTTGCAAATAATGTGGAGATGTGTACCAAACTTTATTCAACTAAAGTTCTGGAAGTGTATGATGCCATCTACGCAGGACTTTGAAGGAACATTCCCCAACATATGTTGAAACAGATTTATAAGGCTTAGCTAACCACAGTGATTTCCATTCTTGAGCTCTCTATTTGAACATTTAAATCCTTCTCCCAAGAATATTATAGCCCACCAAGGGACCAGTGGTCAGTGCCAAAAGCTCTTTCTCATCTATTACTACATGATCATGGATGTGCTTTAATGAGTAATGCTTTTAATGTGGAATTGCTGTCTACATCTTTACATCTCCCCCTGTTTTGAACTGGCCCCAAGGATAGTTCATTCTCCAAGTTGTAGTTATACCAAAACAGTCATGAGCTACCCTGTTCCTGGCTTCCATGTTTGCTACAGATGATGCTTGTGCCTTTAAAAATGATATTTTTCTTTTAAGGGTCATGCTGGAAATGCAGGAACTTACTTATCTACCAGAGGCAACAGAAGTCTTCCTAGAAATCAAAGAGGACCACATTCATCAGTGGCCCCATCTAATAGTGGGGTGAAAGAACTGATTATTCTGCAAAATATATGCAATCAGCTGAAAGCATGATGCTGACAAAATGTAATGTAATTGAGGTCGGCAGCGACTGATTAGACCTCTACTAGGAGAGGGAAAGGACAGGCAAACTCTTGTCACTCCCACCACATCCAAATCTCTGGCTAGCAATAGAGACAGTTCCACAGCTGTCTGTAGGGCTTCTAGCCAATAGAGAAACGATAGGGCTGTCAAGCCCTCCAGATGCTGCTGCCGCAGTTGAAGAGAGCTCTGCCAGAGGTTGTCATGTATTGCAGTTGCCAAAGTTGACTGCCTTGGGCTGCAGCTGTTGCCTTTGTTGCTGGAAGAGTGTGGAGCGTAAGATGAATAACAACAGCGCCAGCACTGTGGGAGGTAGCTCCCGACTGAAAACTCAAGTGGTCTGGAGGACAGCTCTTGATTGACTGTGTAGCTGTCATGCTCATTTAGAAGGAACAGTTGCACCAATAAAACTTAAATTTGCAAGTGTGTAACTATAAAGATGCACATGCAAGCCCATGAATGTGTCCTGTTCTTTGACATAGATGTGACCAGGTGTCTTCCCCTCTCTGTTTTGAAGAAGTTGACCCAATTAAATATTAGATATTACTAATCAAGTTCACCTGCCTGCATTTTTTAAAAAAGAAAAGGATTGGGTAATTTCTTTATTATTCCTCCAAGGAGCTCAAAGTGGCAGTCATGGTTCTTCTCACTCTTCATTTTATTCTCACAACAACCCTGTGAACTAGGTTAAGCTGAAGGACAGAGCCTTGCCCAAGGTCCCTCACTGAGTTTCATGACCAAGTGTGGATTTTAACTCTGGTCTCCTGAATAATCTAGCTAATACACTAGCTCTCTTGTGGTACCTAATGGCCTAATTCAAACTTTCCAAAGCATTAGATGAATTGGAACATGGCCATCCTTTGATATGCACCCCAAAGCAAATCCCTTTTAATTCAGTGTGAGTTATTTCTGAGTGAATGTACTTCCTATTGCTAATATGGCAATATGCCTGTAAAAATGGTGGGTGTTTTTTGGCGAGGGAATATTTCATAATTCCCCCCTTTCTTTTTCCCCACGCTTCATTGCTTTCTGCATTAGAAAGCATTTTCATTCCAGGGATCATCAGTTCCTCAGTGGGTCTAAAAGTGGGTGGTACCGCTCCCTGGGGGTGGGGCTAGAATTACCTAGGGGTTGCTAAGAGACAAGGGAGCAGCAAGGGAAGCTGGAGGTATCAGCTTTCAGACTTTGAAAAGTTGGTATCAGTCGATCAAGTTCATCAATTTGGTTGAAATAATTAAACCAAATAGTTTTAGTTTGATTTTAAATAAATGTACAACTGATTGTTACTGTTTGAAATTTAATTGAGTTATTATCTTCCTTAATGGTTGTACAAACCACTATTCTGAATAATGGGTGTTGGGGATCAGTTTATGGAACCAAGGGAGGGTGGCAGTCCCCAAAGTTTGGGAACCGCTGTTCTAAGTGGTTCGCAACAATATAAAATAAAACATTACAATTGTCGATTAAGAAACAGTTAAAAGTAGATATTAAAAATATTCAAAACATGAAAATCAGCAATCGTGTGGTGAAGGAAGATTAAGAGATGCCAACATCTATGTGTCTGGATAGCCTTGCCTAAACAAAAGTGTTTTCAGCAGATGGCAAAAAGTGTACTGCCTGATGTCACCAGTATAGATTTACTGGTGACTAGGAATGGCTGCATGCGACAGTTTGTTTTTTTCTTAATGTCTCATTTTTCCAGTCTTAAATTCAGTTTGCCACATTTCCAACATCACTTTGCTGTGTGTTTTTTTAAATCCTCCAAAAAAAATAATTCACCAGTATTTGACCAGCAATTTTCTCTGACACAGGCATATCCAACTTCCAAGATACTGCAATCTACTCCCACTATTAAAAAACTTGCAGTGATCTACCCATTGGATTTGCCAAAGTTGTTTTTGAGCTATTTTTAGGCAGCCAAAGTCGACCGTGATCAACCACGGACACACTGCAATTGACCAGTAGATAGCGATCGGCCTGTTGGACACCCCTGCTCTAACATAATGCATTTTGTATGCTATTTGCGCTGATATACAAATTTTTATACACCCTTTCCCCCGATACATGCACTTTTATATACGTTATTTGCCTGGAGAACTTCATCACAAATTCAGAAGTGAGGATTTCCACTGTTTGTTGTTGGTGGGCATGCGAATGAGCAGGTTCATGCTTTTCGCTCCATCCCTACTGGTGACTTATAGGAGACAAGTCATCAAATGGAGCCATTTTTGTACTCTGGTATCTTTTCCAAAGCACCATATGTCACAGAAGGAGTATCTCTTATATAGCTCATTTATTCTAAACTGAAAATCCCTCAATATAGTTTGTATGGGTTTTACAAGGCTACCCGTTGGCTAGTTGAAAGACGTTATGTAGACATTCTCTCTGCTGTCATACATTTGGAGGGAATTAAAAAAAAAAAGTGTGTCCCAATGTTACATTTGAAGGGAAGAGGGGAAAAGATAGATGTGGCTAAGAATGGCACTTTTCACAAACCTTGGCAACGATATACAGGAATTCTGCGCTGCATCGGAGCACGATAAGTTGTGAACTCTAATGCTTTGAAAGATGAGAGCGGGGTGTCCCTTTTTGTGCTTACGCTGGAAATCTGAAACCCTCATTATTTCTGCATTTGTTAAAATATGGCTCCCTGTTCAACATACAGACAAAGCAAGGGCCTTTGATAAAACCTGATCTACATTCAGAGATCTGCTGTGATCTAAGCTTTTCTGAAATAGCACATTGCAGGAAGCTGAGGAATTGCAGGAAGCAGTACAAGAGGATCATATTTTTAAACAGGCTCTTCTTTACTTTGTTTTCTTTTGCATCTTTGAATTGTGCCGTTGTTGTGTTTGCTCAGCAAGTGTCTCCGCGGCACCTTGGTGGCTTATTGCCTCTTTTGTAAATAGTTTGCACTGTACATCTTCTGTCTTGACTTCCTCAATTAATATTCATGATCCTCTCTCCCTCCCTCCCCACAAGCTGCAGTTCCACTGGCGGTGTTTGCTTTGCCGTCGTTCTCCTTCAGATTTATTTTAACAAAAATAAAAGAGCTTCCTCCTTGCATGGCTTGGTTAAAGCTGTTACTATCACAGCACATTTAATGTTAACCCATGCTCAGCAGATGTAGATGTCTGGCCTTACTATTGTTTGCTATCTCTATTTTAAAGAAACACACTTTCCCTTTTTTTCCACATTATTGTGGAGCTGAAACAATTCAAGGGGAAACTATACAGGCTTAAATATTCTATATAGGCTTAAATATGCTATATAGGCGGCACTGTAAAATGTGAACTTTACAGTGGCATTAGTTCAATTTCCTATATTTAGAGTGGGAAATGCCTCAAAGAGCATGGTAAAATTCTTAAATGTGTTGAGTGGAAAATATCCTTTAAAAAAAGAGTTTCCCACCACAAACCGTTAGCTGTAACTAAATAATAATCCATATCCCTTCTGGGCTTGGTCAAAACTTGGCCAAAATCTGAAGTGCGCTCACCACTTCATTTTTTGTGTATCCGTTCATATCATTTTTATATATTTCCCCTTGGAGCTAGATTAATGGAGATGAATTACATTATGAAGCCACAGTTTGATAATTCCTGCAACAAAACATTACTAGAAAAAGTTAGGCAGTATAGGAACATAGGAAGCAACCTTATATGGAGTCAGATTATTGCTCCATCTAGCTCAGTACTGCCTTCGTTGATTGTGGCAGTCTCTCTCCAGAAAGGGATTCCAGGCAGGGTTCGCTCCCAGCCCTACTTGGAAATGTCAGGGGTTGAACCTAGCACCTTCTGCATGCAAAGCAGATGCTCTATAAATGAGCTACGGTCTAGTATTATCTAAAGCTGAGTCAAGCTTCTCATCCCCACATTTTCTTAACATAGTCCAGAAAGCCAGTGTGGTGTAGTGGTTAAGAGCAGTGGACTGGTAATCTGGTGAACCGGGTTCGCTTCCCCGCTCCTCCACATGCAGCTGCTGGGTGACCTTGGGCCAGTTACACTTCTCTGAAGTCTCTCAGCCTCACTCACCTCACAGAGTGTTTGCTGTGGGGCAGGAAGGCAAAGGAGATTGTTAGCTGCTTCAAGACTCCTTAAGGGGAGTGAAAGGTGGGATATCAAATCCAAACTACTCCTCTTCCTCCTCCTCCTCCTCCTCCTCCTCCTCTTCTTCTTCTTCTTCTTCACCACCATGAATGCATCCCTTGTTATCTTAGAATGGCAATCACTGGAGAGGTGCTGGAACGGAGTTCCAGTAGAGGGGAAAAAAAGGCCTGGTCCCACCCACTTAAAAATGGGGATTGGTTTTCTGCAGCTTTCTTGGTGGTAGTGAGAAATTTGTCCACCATTTTTGGGAGAGCGTTGTTGCTTAACTCTACTGGGTTCTGCCAAGAAATGCAGCTGGAGGAAAATTTTGGAGACCGCCTTGCACAGCTTCCTGTTGGCTGCACTTCCTGGAATGCTCTGGGACTGATGTGGTATGATGTGTCATGGCTTCCAAGGCATCCCAGGAAGTGCTGCTGGCAGGAAGCTTTACAGCACTGAGAGTGGTGTGGAGATTTATTTATTTTAAAACCCCCCCACACATTTTAAAAATTTGGGTGTTTAAATAGAAAACCCTTGGCCATATCTTAAGGTTAAAGAAAGGGAAGTAGACACCTGAAGAAAAGAAAAGAAAGAATTGGAGAAAATTTCCCTTCCCACATATTGGGAGAGTTTTATTTTGCTGTACAACCCAACTGTGTGGAAATATCCGATACCAAATAGCTACATTCAGAAAAAGAGTCCTATCTGTCTTAGAACTGGCTCTCACACACACTTAATATGTCTTGTATGGTTGGAGAGTAGCAGCATACGCGCGCACACACACACACACACACACACACAAAATGGCATACAGAATATGTGATACAGGTGCTCCATGGATAGGCTTGTTTTATTGTTTTGTAAACCACTCTGAGTATGATTGAAGAAGGCTCTTAAAAGAATTATAATGAATAATTAAGTAGATAATAGGGGTCTGCATTGGCCCCAAGGTCTGCCTTGTATTTATATCTGTGCATTTTTTCAAAAATGCAGTTTTCTGGGGGAGGAGAAATTTCGGTAGCCTGTAAATGGGACTGTGAAAAAGTTGGGTGGTAGTTTCATCACAGCTTGAGTTTGCATCCTGTGGGACTGGACATCTGATACTGTAAGGAGTGGGAGAAATGGTCAAAATGGACTCGAGAGCTGAGCTGAAATGTCTCTGAAGACGCTGCCCTGAGAAAAAAATCTGGAATTGTTCTTGTTCTCATCCCTCCTTGAAAAATGCCACTTTTCCACATTCTTTGACTATTCATCACCATTTTTAGGTGCGTGGTAGCCATCATTTCTGCCCCTCACTCTGACAATGTCCCCAAAATAATTGTGGAGAATGCAGAATGGTGCCACAGCTGTTGCTGTTGCCACTTGCACCAGTGGGGAAAAGAAAGGGGGGAAATGGGGTGCGAGGTGGGGAGCAGCTGTGCTACTGTCATTTCTAATGGTCTTATCCATCCCTGAGAAACTGTTGGAAAACTCTTCCTCCCCCAGGACTAATTTAGTGAAATCTCTCCTCCTACCCGGAAAATGTATCTGTCCACAAATAGTGTGGAGAATTTCAAGAGGCCATTTGCACACAACTCTCACATTCACTGTACCTCATAAATCTGCAAAAAAAAGATAGTGTGAAATGATGTGATGCTTATGCTGCTCCTGATTCTAAGCAGGATCTGATCCAGTGATCACACCATCAATCACACCTGTTCATGTTGCAGTGTGTGGCTCATTTGCACATTTATGCGTATTTCATGTACAGTCAACCCACAGCATAACACAGATTGTACAGCTGGTTGCCATCAGAGCATGTTCAGTGTAAAACTGATCCATGGATTTAGCCTAATGCAGTCAGAGCCTTAATCTTTAACTAGATCTGGTGTGTTAGTTCTTCTCCAGGTATGGACCTAAAGATTATTAACTTGGGTCTGTTGATTCCAACTTCAGCAGCCAAAACAACAATATCTGATTTGCTGTATTTTGCTGGTTGGCTTCAGAGGAATGTCTGGCAGCAATTAATACCACCATAAAAAGAAAATAACAGGAGAAAACATGCACACAAATTGAAAGCAGATATTCCAAATGTTGTTGTCCCACAAATTTAGATCAACCACACGTCTGCCTGGAAACTTGTAACCAGCATTCATGAGCAATGTTATAATATAAAGTGTGGTAGAAGAACGACAGCAGCGTCTGTTTGTACTTTCTGGAATTAATATGTATGTGCAGATAATTAAAAGTACAATAAAAATACACTAAATGAACATACACAGAGGGAAAGTTTAAACACCATCCAAACGTGTCATATGGCAGAGCTGTGTGGAAATAAAATCTTCCAGAATACTGGCAAGGAATACTTCTTCTAGTCCCAGAATGCAGCAGTTTTTTCATTGTTTGAGAATAATTTTCTTTTTAGTTAATATGACAGTGTGCAGCTACAACTTACATGTACCGTTTCTTGTACTGCTATATGAACTTTGCTTCTCTATGTTACTGGAAACACCTTCCGTACCGACCATAGATTAGAAATGATTCCTTGCCACTCTTGATGAAAACCCAGCTGGCATCCGATGTTCTCAATCTTAGGTGGAAGAAAGTGATTTTCCTGTATGTAGTCTTTTGAGCCCAGCCCAAGAAAAGTAAAACGGTTGATTTCCAAGTGAAAGAATTAAGCACATGCTCTAGCATTGAAATCAATGGGACTTTGTTCTCATTGAAATTGGACAGTTACATTCAATTGTAGGATTGAAAAAAAACTATTGGTTTAAGAGTCATGACAAATACAAACCAAAATGCAGAGAGAGGGAGGAAGTTACAAATGCAACTCTTCAACATAGGAAGATGGGTACATCGGCTAATCCAACACGGTGCATTTGCCAGCAGTTATTTTTTGCGTCAAGAGGCCTACTTCGCAGGTGTTTCTATATTTGCTAGGATAGAGATGGGGATCCTGTGGCCCTCCAGGTGATGTTAGAGCTCAGCTGTCTTCAGTCCCAGCCTGTATGGTGAATAGTCAGGGGTGATGGAAGTTGCAATCCTTCAACATCAATAAAGCCATGGATTCATCATTCCTGTGTTAGGAGAGCACTTATCGTTTAAAACTTGGGAGATGATGTAACAGGGATACACCATGGGTTTTCAACAAATGAGAAAAAAGATGTCTGGAATCACCCTCAATTGCTGATGCCATCTAAAATGGCAAAAGGAGAAAGTTTTGGGTGAGAAGAAATGTACTGCAAAGTCTTTACGCTACTAGACTTAAAACACAGAATTGTTATTCTTATTATTTCTTCTTCTTCTTCTTCTTCTTCTTCTTAAATCGGTCAAGATTCTTGCCTGTGGTGGCTGGTAACCATTGGACCTGTTTGAAGCAGCCAAGGGAGATGTGGGCAGTTTGTTCTGTCCCCCCCAACAACATCCTCCTCCCTTGCAAAGACACAATGGAGACTTAAGCAATGCAGCAGTAAAAAATGCTGGTAGGGTCCTTTGCGATCATGCCCTGGCGACCAGCCTCCCATGATTATACCCCTTAAGAGGTATATTCTCTGAGCCAAATGTCACAGGTGTAAGGCAAATTGTCTTGATTGTGTGAGATACAGAATGCTCAAGTCAAGATGTCTCGAACTATACAGCTGTTCTTGTATAAGACCGGTTACAAATCCCGCTGAATGGAGGTACCTTTCCAAGATAGAAGTCCCTTTCTTGTCCCACAAGAAACTGATCGATGGTAGTTAGAAGTACTTGTGTTTGGCTGCATTGTTCCCCTTAGTGGCATGACATCAATTAGAGGAGCACAACAGTAGGAGATTAAACCACACTGGAGCCTTTCATCCGCTGTGCGTACTTTGAATGTGGCAAAGTCCCAAGGACCCAATGTGGACATCTGTTGGAGCAGAATGTGCTGCACAGAGACAGCCATGGCCGTTTATCTAGAACATGGAAGCATTGTAAGTTTTGCTTTTTACCATCTGGTTCGATCTGGGGGAGAGATTAGTGCGCCGTATCAAAATTACATGAATACATGAAAAAGATATGCAAGTGTCTTCTGTGTTTTGCTACAGAATTTCTGTGTTTTGCTACAGAATGCAAACAACATCTGGTATTTAGTATGTTTCATTAATGGCATACAAATCAAAGCAAACAACTCAGGCAACAGCAGGGAAAAGAGGATTTAATTTGCATAGGTCCATTTAAGTTTTGGGCAGATTTTTTTCTTTATGGATACTAAGCCATTCAGTAGTGACATATAATTATTGACATACAATTACCTTAAAACTACACGTGAAATGGAAAAACGAGAAAGGGAAAGAAACTGAAGCAGGCAGATTCACCCATCTTCAGGTGCTTACCTCTCTGGCCTAGCATTTCATCTAGTCTTTCAAGTTCTGCTAGAAAAAGCCTGAACCTCAAAATTTCCATATTTCCATTTCTGACCTGGGCATGAAAGAAGCTGACCATGCATGACACAGAAGCCCTAGACAGGGGCTATCTTTGTCCATCTCTGTTATGAATGTCCCTTGTCCCAAGTTCCTAAAGCAACCTGAGTGATGTTTCTTTAAGATGCATTTTAATTCCTTAAGATATGGCAAGCAGCCAGGTTCCTTTTCACAGGTATTAGTGTGGCTAGTGGAAATATGGCAGTCCCTTCTCCCTTGCTCAAGACCAAGGGAGTTGCAGGTGGTCACAGGGCCTTCAGGAGATCCCTAGAAAGTTCTTTTACAAATAAAAAATAAATAAAAACCAGTCTATCCCCAGA